GAACGCGACAAAGCAGCTCGGGACTCTCGTCACGCGGCGTGATAAAAGCACGCTTTCCGTCGGATCGTGTATTTCCCGGGGATTTCCGTGAAAACGGCCGCGAAAATTGCAGGGGAAAGAAGGCTTATCCGCGGTGGCTCTGCGCGGAGGAGGAGCGGAACAACTGGGAGAGAGCCGAGTCGAGGGGGCGTTCGCCGTGAAACGACGTTGAAAGATCGTACACGCTTCTTTCCGTTCGTCCCTCGGACCTCCGCTTTTGTCCGAAATCTTCAGACGGCCCCAATCCTTTCGATCCTTTTTCTTGGCTTCTCTCCCCTTCCCTCTGTCCCTGGGATAAAACTCGATCGTAGTAGTAATCTGCTGTAGGTTGCTGGCGGATGACGAGGAAAATTCGACGAAAGTTCGCAGTAGTCGAACTCCACGTAAAACGCTGGAAAGTCGAAACATGGGTGTGGTTTGACGATGCATATCGTTTCAGTTTTTTTTTCGTCGATGCTGATTTTGTCAAGAGACAAGCAGAGATAAATATATTTTTGTTCGCTTATCGTTAGTGGCGCCTTCAAAGCCATCTTGTCATACGGATATAGATTTCTTAGCGTAACCTTATTCTTCGCAAAAGTTCAAAATTCAATTTGAAAATTTTGATTTACCAATTGGACCATGGCCAGACGATGAAACAGCTAATAATGAATTTGAAAGCGATGACACAGTGATCATGTGACTGATATTGAACGTGAAATTCAAAGAGTAATTATTCGATATGACGAATACTCGGACGAAATTACTCTAAAATGTTATTCAATATAATTATCTACTCGCAAGTATCTTGTCTTGTTCGTAAACCTATAACCGATACCATCCGACAGAGACGGAACTGTCAATCTAGCGCGGACCATAAAGAGTTAATAATCTCTCCTGGAATGGACTAGAGGATGAGAATGGCGAAGACAGAACGTTGGAAGAAGTGAAACATTCCCCGAACGAAATTCAACGGCTGATTACTCGGTCGTATGGCTACTCCGTTGACCATCTCTTTCATAACTACTCTATTTACGGTAAACGTGCTCGTTCAAGCACGAGGACCAAAAGCACGACGCTACGTGGTTTACGTTACGATCGCTTATGGCGGTAATTTCGAGAGGCTATCCAATTATTTCGATGGCTCTTGTGCCTCTAGGCTTTGCGTTTGCCGCTTTCTACCTTTGCCCAGCACCACCGCTCGTGATAGATAATTGCAACGAAATGGAAATACAGATTAGCGCGTCTAGAATTTCAATTACAACCCTTCGTTTCGCGTGCATCTCGTTCCACGTAGTGCTTCCGCGAGTTTTCGAAATGCCAAACAAAAACCGCGCAACAAATCTCCACCAGTCCATGCCTCGTTGATCTCAGAAACTGTGCAACAGCCGAATCCCGAATTATTATTATCTCGCGTGTATTCAATTTCCACACGAAGAAGGGGATCATTCGGTAACGTGGATCGATTCTGGCTCCTCGGTTCGCTCAGAGGCAGAGATATTGAGAACTTTGCGAACCGCGGCGAGACGAGAAATTGATCGTCGACAATCTGTCGCTGATAAGTTGGACCAATAGACGGCCGCGCGGAGAAACCGACAGAGAACTCGTCGGCGTGAACTGCAAGAACCAGCTTCCCTTTCCCTTCTCTCTCTCTCTCTCTCTCTCTCTCTCTCTC